TTTAAAGATTTTATTTATTTATTTGACAGAGAGAGACACAGTGAGAGAGGGAACACAAGCAGGGGGAGCGGGAGAGGGAGAAGCAGGCTCTCCGCTGAGCAGAGAGCCCGACGCGGGGCTCGATCCCAGGACCCTGGGATCATGACCTGAGCCGAAGGCAGACGCTTAACGACTGAGCCACCCAGGTGCCCCTGAAATTAGGATTTAAAACCCAGGTTGTCTGGGGGCGTCTGGGTGGCTCAGTTGGTTAAGCGGCTGCCTTCGGCTCAGGTCATGATCCCAGGGTCCTGGGATTGAGCCCCACGTCAGACTCCCTGCTCGGTGGTAAGTCTGCTTCTCCCTCTCCCTCTGCTGCTCCCCCTGCTTGTACTCTCTCTCAAATAAATAAAATCTTAAAAAAAAATTAAATAGATAAATAAATAAAACCCAGGAGGGGCACCTGGTGGCTCAGTCGTTAAGTGTCTGCCTTCAGCGCAGGTCATGATTCCAGGACCCTGGGATCGAGCCCCACATCCGGCTCCCTGCTCAGCGGGAAACCTGTTTCTCCCTCTCCTGCTCCCCCTGCTTGTGTTTCCCTCTCTCACTGTTTCTCTCTCTGTCAAATAAATAAATAAAATATTTTAAAATCAATCAATCAATCAATCAATCCCAGGAAGTCTGGCTTTAGGGTCCATGCATTTTTGGGGGAGGGATGAATGGATGGAGAAGATTTGGATTGAAAATACAGAATCATGGGGCACCTGGGTGGCTCAGTCATTAAGTGTCTGCCTTCGGCTCAGGTCATGATCCCAGAGTCCTGGGATCAAGCCCCGCATTGGGCTCCCTGCTCCAGAGTCCTGGGGGAAACCTGCTTCTCCCTCTCCTTCTTCCACTCCTCCTGCTTGTGTTTCCTCTCTCACTGTGTCTCTCTCTGTCAAATAAATAAATAAAATATTAAAAAAAAAAAAGAGGAAAATACAGAATCTATATCATAGAGAGGACAGTTAAAGGATGCAAATGGAACTCAAGAGTCATTCAGTGCAGAACAGAAGTAAGTAGTTCATGTGCATTCTAAGAAAAAGAGAGCAGGGTATAAAAACAACCCATGTACGTTATTTTAAAAATGTAATGCATACCTGTGGCCTCAGGACCCTGACAATGACCGCTCTCAGCTGTTCGTGCTGGCGTCGAAATTTTCTCATTTGGTCAAGGCGGGCCTGGAGCTTCCTGTGAGCAGGATTGATTCGCCACACCATTTTCAGATTTTCTTCCCTTTTTCTTTTGACAATGTCTCTCAATAACACCTGAAGCTTCTCATATTCATCATCCCAAGTCTGAAAGACTTCAAAGCATGCGACCATAACCTAGGATATAATTTATGAAAGGAAGCTTATTATTACAGCATGTTTTCATCTCCGTGCCCTGAGGTTGGTTTTCTGATATATTAAAACTTACCTTTTCAAATTCTTCATAAGCAACATGCATCAATTTTCTGGTGCCCAATACTTTGAGTAACTGAGAACTCAAGTCTCTTGAAATTGCCTCCACCAAACGCAGTGCCCTCTGAATGGGATATTTTGTGTTTCGGATCTTTCTCAAATGGGTGAAAATTGCAACAAGTGCCTGCCTTATTTTGTCCAGCTCAGTGGCCGACAGCAAATCATTCAGAGGAAAATCTTTCATCAGAGGATTGTAGTCATTCACAGTTTCCAAAGCCTGTTTTAGACCTAGATTAACAGAGAAACGGTTAATGGTTTTCATATAAAGTAATACAGGTATAATATTATAAGTCAACCATACCTTCATTAGGAAAAAGTAATACAACTAAGAGGATACTGCTTACAGCCTAACACCGGGTAAGTAAACTGCAGTACAGCTTCACAACAGAACATTCTGTTGCTGCAGAAGAGTCAGGGACACAGAAACTATTTATGATATTTGAAAAAAAAGGAACATGTTATTAACAGGATGATCCTCTGTTAATTAACGGACGGTCTCATTGCTTTTTTAAGAATATCAGTCAACTCACGCATACTCTAAAGGCTGTGGGTGATGGACCCATGAATTTCATTGCTTTCTATACCATCTAAATGTTCTACGAATAACATTAAGTTTAGAAAAACTACAATGTTATCATCTTTAGGAACACTAAAATATAAATGGTACACCTGTGGCTCATATGAGCTGAGTGTGTTATGGACACAGAATCCCAGAGGCACCTGGGTCTAATCTACTTTCTGACTCCTCTAGCAGAAGATTAAAAGAAAAAAAGAAGAAAGAAAAAAGAAAAAAGAAAAAGTATTAGGAAAGAAATAGAAGTCTCAGAGGTATTTAAAAAGAAAATTTCAAGGCATGCCTTTCAGCATTAGTGAATGCCCAGGTAACACGTGCAATGTGATCCACGTAACTAGATTTCTACCTGGAACTTCCGTTAACATTTAAAATGTGGGTAGCATGCCTTTTTTGGAGGGGTAGGAAAAGAGCATGACCAGTACTGCAGCCCTGATTCCTTGCTCTAATATTCTCTGGGGGGCAGAGCTGTAGAGAAGTGCCTAACCATGCCTGGTCATCCAAACCCTGGAGTGCCCAGCGTGTGCTAATACAACATCACTCACTGCTGTGCATACAGAAAACTAAATTTATCTTGACCACTTTCAGAACAGGGAGAAAGGCAGAGAATGGGGAAAGGGGGACAGGTAAAAGAGGAAGAGAAAGCACTGTCCAGCTCTCCTTCCACAGTCCTGTGGGCAAATAACTTCTGCTTAATGTCAACTGTCTTCCTGCTTGGATTGTCAGAAGCACACTTGACTTTATACTAAAAAAGTACTGTCTACTCGAGGAACCAAATAACTGAGAAACAGGAGGGAAACTCCCAGGACTCTCTACTCAGGCCTGGAAACTAGCTTATGTTCTCAAAACTCCAGAAGGAGAAGCAATGTGTGTGGGAAAATCATGTGATGGTCCATCTACTGACTTTCACTGAAATCATCCATAAGATCTCACAAAAGTCAGACCCATAACTCACTGATCGCATTATCAGCTCCAGTGTTTACCTGTGTCGGTGTCAAAACTGACAGTGGCATGGAAACGCTTGCCGTGTTTCAAGATATCCAGAGTGAGGAGAACTTCCGGGCTCTCTCGCTTCTCCTGTATACGGTATAGTGCACGTTCCAAGTTTAACCAAAAACTAATTTCCTGCAAGGCTGTTCCTGAGGCAGGGTCTCGATCAAGTTTGGTCACCTTTAAGGACAGATAATATTCAAGAGTACTCACTATTTAAATAAAGGTAGAAAAGTATCATTAACTAAACACATGCATTACAACGTAATTTTTATATTTCAAGTAGATTTCCTTCCCTGTCAACTATAATTGGTTTAATAAGTGAAAGCAAAGGTATAAGACAGCTGGGATCAACACTCTCTCAGGGCTAATATTTAAACAACCGCACGCTGTCCCAGGACCCACAGAGAGCACTGCTAACATCATCGGACACATCACCTCATTGACAAAAACTCAGACCAGTTTCTCAGAGACAATGAAGAGCAAAGTACTTTATACAACATATTCAATACCATGCTCTTACTTTTTGAATTTCTCGGATCCAGCGGTTAACTCCTGATTGTAACTGATTGAGAAAAGTTGGGTCTTCAACCTTATCTCCAAAGTCTGTAACTTTTGGCTTTTCTCCACGTTCATAACACTGTTTCGCAACATTTGTAATAATGGGATGAATTGGCAGGCTGATCTCTGGAATTTCAATATTCTGCTGCAAGTGAAGGAGCCCCATTTCAAGTTCTGCAATCTTTTTTTCAACTGAAGGAGCCATTTTATCACCATCCCTAAAAAGGTTAACAAACACGTCAAACTTTAGTGTGCCGTTGGTCTCCAAAAGATCCTATTATTTTACATCTGTCAAACAATAATAATATACATCTTATTGATGCAACAGATTTATATGGTTTACCAGCTTTGCCCTCCCAATTCCCAAATTTCACATTATCTTTCATGGTGTCTTGTGAACACTAAGTGAAATAGGACATTCAAACCAACAAAGGAAAAATGGTTTTTACCTGTCTGCCTTGCCAGACTCTCTGATATAGGACTTAAAAAAAGGAGCCACCGCATTGCTAATGAAAGAATGCAAGGTTTCATATGGTGAGTCTTCACTGAGCGTGAGGACTCGGAGCTGAGAAGACACTGGTTTGTCTGCATCAATTACTGGAGCGCGTTTAATGAATGCCAAGCTAAAAGAAAGCAAAAGAACAAATTAGAACAAAGAGCCTCATTCCTAATCAGTTTTAGTAACTGTTGCCCTCTGTGTGTTGCACACAAATTAAAAATTAATTTGAATGAATTAATTTAAAAGTCATATTAAGAACACGTTAAAGAATTGCTTTTCTAATAGGGAAAAACACTGCTTACCTTTCTTTACTCAGGTGAGAACAACTGAATCAAGGTTAAGGTTTGGCATGTGACGATGAAACCAGGCAAAGTTAATTTGTCTAATATATGGGTTGAGTTCATAATCTTGGCCTCACTCAAACAAACCTCCCTAGTAACTGCAAGTTACAAGCCATGATGTACTTAAATGTGATCTTATGCTAGTTTGTACCATTCCTTAATGGCACTAAGTCACATACTGACTTTAATAAACAACAGTCACCCCCAGGTTAAAGTGGCAAGAGGATGTTCCAGGCCCCCCCCACCCCCGCCTGGCCCAAATCAACTCTTCCAGTTTTATCTCCTGCTATGTACCCTCTTCCCCACCCAAGACACAACTTAAAATGATGTCCCATTCTCTAAACGTGATGTGCCATTGTGTCTTTGTTTAAGAAATCTACATCTGCTGAAATTCCAAGCAACCTTCAAAACCCAACTCTGGCATAATCTCTTCCATGGGGCCTTCCCTAACCAGAATCACTCTCTCCAATCTCCATGCTTCATGCTGTTCTGCGCCTCTAAGATTTTGCCAAGTAGTAAGTTAGTTGTGTATCTGCAGAGCTTTCTCCCCAAAGACCACAAGCTTCTTGGGAACCAGGTTTTATTTCTCTGCATACCTACTGCCAAATCTTACACATAACAGGTGCTCAAAGATGGTTGAATTAATAGTTCAAAAAAATTAGTATTTTAATTTTCCATTCCCAGGCCAGTACTTTACACATAATACTTTGTTATTCTAAAAAGTCACTGAAGCCTCCTGATGTGACACACTTAGAAGGAAAAGTCGTAATAGCATCCCTGCCAAAAATGCACAATCTAATCACCACTGGTATGTACTTCTCAAACATGTCAATGTCATGAAAGACATAGAATTAGATTCTGAATCAGGGAGAATTGCTGTAAGGGACATTATTGAGACAATGTGAGTGTGCACACGGTACATAAAGAGTAGAATTGTACCAGTACTTCCTGGATTTAAAAACTGTATCAAGGCTATGAATAGAAGTGTCCTTGTTCTTAGGAAATACACTGAAGTATTTAGGGGTAAAGGGGCAGGTGTTGCCTATAACTAACTGCAAATGGTTCAAGAAAAAAAGCGATAATGCAAATGTGGCTATGTTAACAACAGCTATCTGATATCAACTGTATAGAATTCATGTAACTCTTTTGTAGGCTTGAAATTATTTAAAATAAAAAGTTTTAAAAAGCCAATGCAGTATAAATTAAACATTTACATATTTAAATTTGGATATGTCTACTGGAGTGTAAATTGACACTACTTTTCTAGAAGGTGGGAAAAATCTGGTAACATGCATTAAAGACTTTAATGACACATTGCATCTGAACCAGTAATACTTTCTTTAGGGATTTATACTAAAAAGAATGAGATCTCTACCTAAGAATCTTTACTAGGTTTATACTAGTTATTTATAATAAAGAAAATTGAGATATAATCTGAGAATGATTATTATACATGTTAAGTACATTTTGGCTCAAACCTAAAATGGATGCCATGACATAGCAATTAAAATAAATAATATTTTAGAATTTATATTGACTTGGAAATCCTCTGAATTTCAATACATGAAATCAAAGGTGATTCAATACATGAATTTAATACATGAATTAATTTAATTTAAATTCAATACATGAATTTAAACAGCAGAAATCTTGAGTTTTCTTAATGTCTGTCTGAGTCAATTAAGATCTACATTCAATTCTCACAAGCTTATAATCTGAGGTAACATTATATTCACACTACTCACCTATTGGACTTAACTCCGTAATGAATGTCTATGTTGATATTATAGGAAATGAATTCTTTTTCCTCTTCTCCTTCATCACCAACATCCTCTACAAATTGTAATAAATATGATATCAAATTCATGTCAATATCAGCTGCTCACCCTACCCCCAACCTGACATTTAAACCCACACATGACTTGGCTCTACCTATTTTTCCCTTCCTACCCACTTTTTTTTCTGACTCCTGGCCCAGGCACTTTGCTGTGTGATCCTGGGCAAGGTAGTTAACGTCTCTGCACCACTATTTCTTTTTCTGTAAGTCGGGAGGCACTGGCCTGCCGGGGGTGCTGGAAGCACTAGAGCAGGGTCTGGCCCTGCGAGGAGGGGTTCCCGACACCAGTGCTCACCACCCCCTCTGGGCAGGCTCACCCCTCGTACTCCCAACACAGAAGGCACTTGCCACTTCCCACTCTGGGTGTTCTGCTCAGGTGTTTACTCAACGCTCACTATGGACAGGCATTTTACTAAGTACTTTAGGTCTATCACACACCTAACACTCACAACAACACTGTGGGGGTTGGCATGACTATTTTTACCCATGTTTCCCAAGTAAGAAATCTAAGTAAATTGCCCCCAAACATGTGTCTGGGAAGAGACAAAGTGAGAATTCAGAAGTCTGTGATTCCAAACCCAGGGTCCTCCCCAGCACATGGCCCACCCCAGCCCTCATCAAGCGCCCCTGCCAAGTGCAAACAACCATCAAGAAAATCATTATCAACCAACACCCACAGGGTCACCGAGAGGCATTCACCTAGCCTTCCCCTCTGCTCTCATACCACTTTTCAGGGCCTGCTCTGGGGTCGATTTATGAATGCATCTTCCTCCCCAAAGGTGAGCTCCTGCAAGGCAGGGACCATGCTGGATTCCACACAGCAAACACCATGCACAGTAGTCATTTAAAAAAGCTGACTGGAATTCAGTAAGATAGCTCAAGATGCATGTGAACAAAATTTCTTCTTCTTTTTTTTAAAGTAGGCTCCAGGCTAAGCATGGAACCCAATGCAGGGCTTGAATTCATGACCCTGAGATCAAGACCAGAGCTGAGATCAAGAGTCAGATGCTTAACTGACTGAGCCACCCAGAGGCCCCTGAACAAAATTTCTAAATCATTAAAAAACCACAATTGAAAAATTTAAAATTTGTAAGAATGGGAAATAATCCAAACCCCTAGATCCAGTACTGATCCACTAGATGCATAAATAAATGCTCCAGCTGAATTATCTTTGCAATGATATATTCTATCATTTGGATAGAATGATATCATTCTGTCACCTTGGGCAAAAATTTCTACCCAAGGATTAACATGGTATGTGTGGTTCGCCTTCACTTTTAAATCATGATGTAGGAGCGACGGCAGCAGATCTGGTGAAGTAATCTTGGGAAAGTCATTTTTCTTCCTCTGGATTTCAAATCCATGAATGGAAAATGGGCAGCAGAGTGGGGGGATTGGTGGAAGAGGTGAAAGAGATTAAGAGTACATTCGTGATAAACAGAGTAATGTACAGAAGTGCTGACTCACTCTATTGTACACCTGAAACTAGTGTAACACTGTATGGTGACTATACTAGCATTAAAATTAAAAAAAATAGTAAATACAAGGGGCAGCAGAGGAAGGGGTAGGATATTAAATCAGGTGGTCTATAAAGTTTCTTTAAGCACCAACAACTATGAAAATCTGGGTATACAGAGTCTGAGCAAAAGCTATTTAAGATGAGACAAATACAAAGTTTACACTAAAAGATGAAAAATATTAGTATATCTGTCAAGACAATAACTCTTCCAAAATAGTGTTTTTAGTTAATTTTAGGAAGTGAGAGGAGGTGGCCAAGTATTCTACTATGCTAGGTACTTCCTAGATGTTTATTTATTTAATTTATTTTTAAGATTTTATTTATTCATTTGACAGAGACAGAGACAGCGAGAGCAGGAACACAAGCAGTGGGAGTGGGAGAGGGAGAAGCCGGCTTCCCCCCAAGGAGGGAGCCCGATGCGGGGCTCGATCCCAGGACCCTGGGATCATGACCCAAGCCGAAGGCAGACGCCTAACAACTGAGCCACCCAGGCGCCCCCTAGATGTTTTTTTAAAATGACTAACTTAAAACAAACAAACAAACAAACAAAAAACAACTAAACAAATCAATTGGGTTTTCTAACTACCAAAATGTGGATAAACCACAAGACAGATCACAATGCCTGAAACCAACCACACATATGACTGCAATCTCTAAAATGCATGCATATGAACAGAACATAAAGAAATACTCCCAAACTAAAACAGTTGTCAGGTTGGTAGGATTATGAAATATTTTCTCCCTCAACTTTCCAAACTCTGTTCTATGAATTATATAAAATATACGTCATCAAGATAGCATCCAAACAGTACTTGGAAAAGTAACATTTTATAATCATTAAAGGAAATTACTGACGAAACTAAAAGCATGGTATGTTAACTTTGAATCATTTCTTCCTCCGAGAAAAAATTCACCATTTATATAAATAAAATCACACAGAAAACATGCCCACTGGATGCCGCATCCAGCCATGCTGCCTGCACTTCTTAATGCAAACAGGGTTAAAGGAACCGGGCGCCTGGCCATGAGATGAGTCACGGCTCTGCTCGGTCTCAGCCCTGCTGGGAACGCCCAGCTCCCAGCTCCGCACCGGGAATACTGCAATGCAGCAGAACACGGCCTGAACTCGGAAAGGCACGCCCAGACACAATCCTCAGACAAGGGTATCCAGTAGGTATCCTCTACCACTTCGTTAAAACCCTAATTGATCTTTTGATGATAGTATTTATGGAAGTCACAGAATACATTTCCCATTAGTTTTCTAATGCTTATTCTCCATAAAAAGAGATCAAATGAAGTCTGAGTATGTCTGATTCCTAGTAGAAAGAACCCGTCATTGTTTTATAAACTGCCATCAAATAATTTAACCTTTTTGCCTCCCTATAAATTATTACATCTTCCAAATAATAATAGTGTAACATTTTACTTCTGCAGAAACATTTTTTTTAACTGTTCAGAGGCAAGACACTTGATAGTTAATTCTTAATAACAAAGAAGCTATTAATCCTGCTATATTTAGAAGCTTATAGCTAACACAATCTGCATATTTTATCAGGCAATACGGCTTTCAGTCAAGTTTGAATCCCTTTCCTACTGCTGCTGTTACTGGGTTACTGGTTAATACGTAACGGCCCACTAATGTACTGCCTGTTAATACATTCCGGGAATCAAAGTGCCGGTACAGAAAGTGGGGAGCCACCTCGCCAGGTCCTCTGCTGCGAGCCACACTGATACACATTTAGTGACCTGGGGACATTTCTTTGGTTAACTTCTGAGAGTTGACTGAATTTCTAGAGATGTTTAAAATGTCACTTAGCATGAATCTGTGTAAATTTCTTTCTTTTTTTTTTTAAAAGATTTTATTTATTTATTTGACAGAGAGAGACACAGCGAGAGAGGGAACGCAAGCAGGGGGAGAGGGAGAGGGATAAGCAAGCTTTCCGCAGAGCAGGGAGCCCGATGTGGGACTCGATCCCAGGACCCTGGGATCATGACCTGAGCCGAAGGCAGCCACTTAACCGACTGAGCCA